GAGTGCAGTAATTTACTTGCATACTTGTGTTAAATCACTTCTATAACCATGTTTATGTGAGTTTACTTACTTTATATATATTTTTTTTTTTTTTTGGCCAGTCCACTTCCCTGTTTGCACAGAATAAACTGAAAATATTTATCCGCAGTTCTTTCTTCTTTTTTAACAATATAAATGTGCACATGATACATTGATGTTCTTTGGGTACGGCATTGACTAGAGGTAGTTTTCCTTCTTTCTTTTTTCTTTTTTGTATTTGTTTTTAGTGATGTGTTTTTCCAATTGTCTACACTGTTGTTTTTGAATGAAGTTAAACCGCTAATTGCAGTCAGCTGTTACATGCTATTTAAAGCTGTTTCTGACTACTGAAACTCAGTAATAACTAAGCACATGTTCATGTGAAATGCGTTTACAGCTTCTCTGTCCAGTCTTGGAGCTGTGATGTTCTTATTACACTGTTTGTGAAGATTCCAATAAAGGGTTTTATTCTGCTACCTCGTTGTCAGTGTGGGCAACCTCTGTTTATTGTTCCTGCGATCACGGATCGGGCCGGCACCAACGTGCATGTGGAGGGGCTATATATCCAGCACTCACCTGGAGCGGTCTGTTTGTTTATGAGAGTATATATTACAACATTGGCAATGTAGAAGAATTTTACTCATCTATACACTTACGGACCTTTATGCACAATTATTCAACATTACTCAAGGTCTTTACACACAGTATTTTTTTTATTCAAGAACTTTCTGTCAACAAGTTCCTGAGTAAACATCAGTTAATTATGACGCTCATGTGCAAGGGGCCAAAGAGTGAGGTGCAGTAGTCACATATATAAACGTAGTGTGTTGTTCTGTTTATGTGCATTAGGCATAGGTGACCACATGAATTTTCACAGATCCGTGACTGATTCATCCAGGCTAGTCATTCCACAGTAGTGGTAGACAATGTGTAAGAAGATAAAAACATGTACCAATAGTCAAAACTTTTAGCAACAACTATTGCTAAAATCTAAAATTAAAGGTAGTATGCAGTCTGATTTGTGTAAGCCCTGGTTCACATCTGTGTGGTCATGTGTGCCGCGATTTGCACGGGCATGAGAGCCTGTTCATTTGAATGGACTCCCATGTCCTGGGACACGCATTGGAAGAAGTCCCTGCACTACTTTGGAATCGAGGTTCCCAGTACGGTTGAGGTTTCCAGTGCGGGCAGCGTGCCATTAGAATTAATGGCACCCGCCTGTGGGTCCCGCATTCCTCTCTGTGGGTGGTGCGGCTGCAGGTATATTTGCGGGTCCCACAGCGACACCACCCGTAGAGATTTGAACCAAGAGTAAGAAGGGACTGCACTCCAATATGTCTGATGAAATACAAGTTTATACAGAAAAGGAATACAAATCACACGCTGCCAAGACTCTACCCTCCCTCCCTAATGTGTTTTACCCAGAAGAGGCTTAATAATAGCGATAAAGTAGTAGGGTGGGGCAGGACATTTTATTTGGTACATTGAATGTTTGGCATTCATCTGATGAATGCCCAATCAGCATATAAAATGGCTTACCCCACCCTGTGCTCCATGATTACACCTGTTCTGGGTGGAACGCATTTGAGAAGTTATGATCCTTTTGGGAAGTGATTTGTATACCTTTGAGGAATAAACTTACAGTTCATTAGATAAGTATATAACCCCCACTAGTGTTTTTATCTTATTTTCATCCTTGATTATGTCTTGATTAGGCAGCTTATCTCCTGCAGCCTCTTTTCAGCCACTTTCATTAATTTGCCCTCTGGTAATGGCTGCATGGCATTTTTAGTGTAGGTTTCCTGATGTAGTCATTAATGGACCATAGCTGTTGAATGCGGTATGGAGTAGCTACCTGTAGTCTTCATTGGAAACCCATATGACTGGGTGATTTAAAATCACAAACATTTCTATTTCACTGTTACATGATCAAGATTTATAAGTGGAGGGAATGATACCATACTCATCTCTATACAGGAGTAACACACACTGACAATAAGTTTGTAGGGAAAAAGGGAACACTTATTGTCACTGGCTCAAACAATTTCTACTATTAAACATAAAAGAAAAAATGACATTAAGCCTGAAAATATGGCCTCTTTTTCCTAAAAGGTATATGATTTCATTTATCTCCTAGATTGTAAGCTCCAAGGAGCAGGGCCCTCCTATCCCTCTTGTATTGAACTGTATTGTCTCCCGTTATATTGTACAGTGCTGAGCAAACTGTTGGCACTATATAAATCCTGTATAATAATAATAATAATAATTTTCCTGACTTAAACTTTTGTTATCCATTACTAGCTAGAGCTGCAGCAAGACTAGTATCACTCCTTTTATTTGTATATCAGAAAAAGCGTTGCCAAAGTCGTTGCAAGGCAAGGGAAAAATAACAGTTGCAGTGGCACACTCAAATATTCTATATTTTATTGGTTAAATAAACTATTTTAATACTTGATATGTTTTTTTTTTCCTGGAAAAAAATATGTCTTCATTTCCCTGACTGATCTGGCAGGAATGATACCATTCCTTCATCTTCATTTGACATTAATGCCACAGGGCAAGGAAGAAGACTGATTTCAGTGAATTAAATTGACTATTTGCTTTCTCACTCTAAATTACAAAAAAAAATTATCAAAATGATCCACTTCAAAGGGAAAAAAAATATACTGTTTATAGTAAAAAAAAAAAAAAAGATTATATACACACACATATATATATATATATATATATATATATATATATACACACTCACCGGCCCCTTTATTAGGTACACCTGTTCAATTGCTTGGTAACACACATTGCTAATCAGCCAATCACATGGCAGCCAATCACATTGCATCTAGACATGGTGAAGACAACTTGTTGAAGTTCAAACTGAGCATCAGCATGGGGAAAAAAGGGTATTTAAATGACTTTGAACATGGTATAATTGTGGGTGCCAGGTGGGCTGGTCTGAGTCTTTCAAAAACTCCTGATCTTCTGGGAGTTTCACACACAACCATCTCTAGGGTTTACAGAGAATGGTCCAAAAAAGAGAAAATATCAAGTGAGTGGCAGTTGTGTGGATGAAAATGCCTTGTTGATGTCAGAGGTCAGAGGAGAATGGGCAGACTGGTTGGAGATGATAGAAAGGCAATAGTAACTCAAATAACCACTTTTTGCAACCAAGGTATCCAGAATACCATCTGTATGCACAAAATAATGAACCTTGAAGCAGATGGGCTAGCGTAGCAGAAGACCACACTAGGTGCCACTCCAGCTAAGAACAGGAAACGAAGGCTACAATTCGCACAGGCTCACCAAAATTGGACAATAGAAGATTGGATACAGCTTTGCCTGGTCTGATGAGTCTCAAGTTCAACTGCAACATTCAGATGGTAGGGTCAGAATTTGGCTTAAACAAAATGAAAGCATGAATCCACCCTGCCTTCCTACATGGAAGAAAAATATATTTTTAATATAATTTAAAAATATTCTTCCCAAATATATTGACATATATTTGAAATACTACAGTTTTGGCCGTATCCATTATATATATATATATATATAATATATATATACACACATATATATATATATATATATATATATATATATATACACTATATGTCGAAATGTGTTTTTTATATATTGCAAAATACATGAAAAATATTTTTAAAAATATATTTGTTTAACCTCCCTGGCGGTATTCCTGAGTGTAGCTCGGGGTAAAGTTTCAGTACCACAAGCGGTATCCCTGAGCTACACTCGGGCTTACCATGCGGCGTTGCTCAGGGATTCCCTGCAGCGCTTACCTTGTCCTTCGCTCCCGCAATGTGTCCCCTGCAGCGTCCCGGCCATCTCCTCCGGCCGATGCCGGACGTACGGGGGCCGGAACCAGCGGCAAATTTGAAAGTTTTAAAAAATGTAATTTTTTTGTAAACGATTATTACATAGCAAAACATTGCTGTTTCAAACCATTTCATATACATTTTGTCCCTACTGCTTTGTCCCGTGCCCTGCCTGCATTTTGACTGTTCTTTCTGCCTGGAAACTGGGGAAAATGCATGGTGTTCAAAAAGCGTCCCTTTAGGTCAAAATCGGTTTCAGACCAGCTAGAGAACAGCGATAGTAAATCAGAACCACTTGCAGAATTGAGTGATAATGATTTGTGGGGAAATTCATCATCAGACACTGAAAACAATTCTGCGACTTTGCTCAGTGATGTGCGAACTTGGCACTATATTTCAAATTTCTGTGTTTTTGGTTTGATTATATTATTGAATTAAATGTATTATTATTATTGTCACGGACTGCCAGTGCCTCTCCCCCCGCCATATCCCTCCACCCCACCCTTCCCCCTTGTACATTCCAAGGTCTGTGGGGCTTCCATGGACAGGGCTGGGCCGGCCGTTGCCAAGGCAACCTAGCCGCGTCCCACATGATCTTCAAGAGACCCACACAGGAAGCAGCCCTTCTCTTTTTGTTCCTGTCCATGCTGCTGGAATCATCTTGCTCCCAGAAAGATGCTGGGAGGCTCGGGTGAGGGGCCCGAGCCTCCCCAGCCATCCCCCCTGTGCACTCTGCAGACCCCCAAAAGGTCAGGACTGTAGCCCTCTGCAATACCCCAGGGTTGGGAGTCTCCACAGCTCTGCATGAGCCTTCTCCTCAAAGGTCAGACCCCACAGCTGAGACCCTGCCAGTCTGTAAGCCTGTCTACTGGGCACCCTTTCACCCTGTCTGCTGCTGAGTGCCCTGGGGGCTGCTGCTGAGGGACCCTGCACACTATCCCTGGCTGCGTGTCCCTGGAAGCTGTCTGCTGCTGAGTGCCCTGGGAGCTGCTGCTGTCTGCTGATTGCTGGTTGTCCCTGGAACGCTGACCGCTGGTCATCCCTGTCTGGAGCCGCCTGCCGCTGAGGGTCTGCCAGCTGCTTACCGTGAGTGTCCTGAACTGTCCTCGCTGTGTGCACCGACCACCCGTGTCCTGAACTGTCCCTGTTGTGCGCACTGACCACCCGTGTGTCCGAACTGTTCCTGTTGTGTGCACTGACCACCCGTGTTCTGAACTGTCCCCGCTGTGTGCACCGACCACCCGTGTCCTGAACTGTCCCTGTTGTGCGCACTGACCACATGTGTCCTGAACTGTGCCTGCTGTGTGCACCGACCACCCGTGTTTGGAACTGTCCCCGGTGTGTGCACCGACCACTCGTGTCCTGAACTGTCCCCGCTGTGTGCACCGACCACCCGTGTTCCGAACTGCCCCGCTGTGTGTGCACTGACCACCCGTGTCCTGATGGCATGCCCAGAGTATAGCTACCTGTGGTGCCCCTGAGTGCTTGAGCCATCGCTACCCGTTGAGTCCCCGTGAACCCAATGACCCTAGAAAGCTGGGTGGAAGCTGTGCTGTGGCCAGTCTCCACAGCTAGAGTCCCATTGAGTCCCCGAGTGGTAGGTTGGCGCCTGTTGCCCGAGCCCCTGCCCAGGGGTAGATTGCCACCTGTTGCCCGAGGACCCTGCCCAGTGGTAAGTTGCCGCCTGTTGCCCGAGCCCCTGCCCAGTGGTAGGTTGCCGCCTGTTGCCCGAGCCCCTGCCCAGGGGTAGATTGCCGCCTGATGCCCGAGGCCCCTGCCTAATGGTAGGTTGCCGCTTGTTGCCCGAGGCCCCTGCCCAGTGGTAGGTTGCCGCCTGTTGCCCGATGCCCCTGCCCAGTGGTAGGTTGCCGCCTGTTGCCCGAGGCCCTTGGCCAGTGGTAGGTTGCTTCCCTTTGCCCGAGCCCCTGCCCAGGGGTAGATTGCCGCCTGTTGCCCGAGGCCCCTGCCCAGTGGTAGGTTGCCGCCTGTTGCCCGAGACTCCTGCCCAGGGGTAGAATGCCACCTGTTGCCCGAGGCCCCTGCCCAGTGGTAGGTTGCTGCCTGTTGCCCGAGGCCCCTGCCCAGTGGTACGTTGCTGCCTGTTGCCCGAGGCCCCTGCCCAGTGGTAGGTTGCCGCCTGTTGCCCGAGGCCCCTGCCCAGTGGTAGGTTGCTGCCTGTTGCCCGAGGCCCAGTGGTAGGTTGCCGCCTGTTGCCCGAGTCTCCAATCCGCTGTCCAGTCACGGAGGGAGCTTGGCTGAGGCCCCAAGCCTATGGGGGAGACTGCCTGCCTGTCGCTGAAGACCCCCCGTGCCTGGAATCATCCCTGGTTTGCGCACACATCACCCTCCCTGCCATTTCCCCATTGAGTGTCTGTCCTTTTGTTGCTTCAATAAAGCTTTGTGTGTTCCCCATCTTCTCCGTGTGCTCTGTCCTGCCTGTGCTTCCGTTACAATTATATTATTATTTTTTATGATTAGTTATTAAATTATAATTTATGATTTCGTGTTTCAAGTTTTATCATCCGGAATGTTTTCTAGAATCTTGTTCGGACAGATTTCAGTGAGTTATTCCTAAAAATGACAGGCCTACAATAAAAAAACTACATATTTCCATGCAAAATAATGGTACCGCTTTTTCAGCACCAAAAATCTGAAATAATCATACCGCCAGGGAGGTTAAAATATATCTTCAGATTTTTTTTAACATATAAAAGTAACTTTAACATATATTTTTACATATATTTGTAAATGCATTCCAAAAATGTAGATTAAATGTATTTTTAAAGACATACAGTATATTTGAAAATGTATTTTTTAAAAATATTTTTCATATATTTTGTAATAAATAAAAAAATGCATTTCAATATACAGTATATGAACATACAGTATATATGTGTGTATATATATATATATATATATATATATATATATATATAATTGATTTATTTATTTTTCTTTAAATATATTGAATACGGCCAAAATTTTAGTATTTCAAATATATGTCAATATATTTGGGAAGAATATTTTCAAAATATATTTTTCTTCCATGTGGGTTGTATCAACGGTTCAGGCTCGTGGTGGTAGTGTAATGGTGTGGGGGATATTTTCTTGGCACACTTTGGGCCCCTTGGTACCAATTGAGCATTGTTTAAACACCACGGCCTACCTGAGTATTGTTGCTGACCATGTCCATCCCTTTATGACTACAGTGTACCCATCTTCTGATGGCTACTTCCAGCAGGAAAATGCACCATGTCACAAAGCTCAAATCATCTCAAACTGGTTTCTTGAACAATGCGTTCACTGTACTCCAATGGTCTCCACAGTCACCAGATGTCAATCCAATATAGCACCTTTGGGATGTGGCAGAACGGGAGATTTGCATCATGGATTTGCAGCGAACAAATCTACAGCAACTGCAACCAAAATCTCTGAGGAATGTTTCCAACAGCTTGTTGAATCTATACCATGAAGAATTAAGGCAGTTCTAAAGGCAAAAGGGGTCCAACCCGGTACTAGCAAGGTGTACCTAATAACTAATAAAGTGGCCGGTGAGTATATATATATATATATATATAGAGAGAGAGAGAGAGAGGGAGCGAAGAGAGAGAGAGGGGAGAAAGCTAGATAGATACTGTAGCTGTATATATAGTTGCATGAAAAAGTATGTGAACCCCTTGGGATTACGTGGTTTTGCATGAATTGGGCATACAATGTGCTCTGAACGTCATCTAAGTCACAACAATAGAAGAACACAGTCTGCTGAACATAATACTACACAAACATTAGATGTTGCCATGGTTTAATTGAACATAACATGCAAACATTCACAGTGCAGGGAGGAAAAAGTATGTGAACCTTTGGACTTAATAACTGGTTGACCCTCCTTTGGCAGCAATAACCTCAACCAAACGTTTCCTGCAGTTGCAGATCAGACCTGCACAATGATCTGGAGTAATTTTGGACCACTCCTCTTCACAAAACTGTTTCAGTGTAGCAATATTCTTGGGATGTATGGTGTGAATCGCTCTCTTAAGGTCATGCCACAGCATTTCAATCGGGTTGAGGTCAGGACTCTGACTGGGCCACTCCAGAAGGTGTATTCTGTGCTGTTGCAGCCATTGTTTTGTTGAATTACTTGTATGCTTTGGGTCATTGTCCTGTTGCATCACCCATCCTCTGCGGAGCTTCAGTTGGCGGACAGATGGTCGTACGTTTTCCTGCAAAATGTCTTGATAAACTCTGGAATTCATTTTCCCATCAATGACAACAATCCGTCCAGGCCCTGAGGCAGCAAAGCAGCCCCAAACCATGATGCTCCCTCCACCATGTTTTACAGTGGGGATGAGGTTTTGATGTTGGTGTGCTGTGCCCTTTTTTCTCCACACATAGTGTTGTGTGTTTCTTCCCAAACAACTCAATCTTGGTTTCACCTGTCCACAGTATATTTTGCCAGTAGTGCTGTGGAACATCCAGGTGCTCTTTTGCAAACTTCAAATGTGCTGCAATATTCTTTTTGGACAGCAATGGCTTCCTCTGTGGTGTCCTCCCATGTACTCCATTCTTGTTTAATGTTTTCCTTATTGTAGATGTGTCAACAAAAATATTAGCATGTGCCAGAGATTTCTGTAGGTCTTTAGCTGACACTCTGGGATTCTTCTTTACCTCATGCAGCATTCTGCGCTGTGCTCTTGCAGTCATTTTTACAGGATGACCACGCCTAGGGAGAGTAACAGTGCTAAACTTTCTCCATTTGTAGACAGTCTGTCTTACCGTGGACACATGAACATCAAGGCTTTTGGAGATACTTTTGTAACCCTTTCCAGCTTCATGCAAGTCAACAATTCTTGATCGTAGGTCTTCTGAGAGCTCTTTTCTGCGAGGCTTGGTTCACATCAGACAGTGCTTCTTGAAACCAGTAAACCCAAAAAAGGTGTGTGTTTTTTAAGGGCAGGACAGCTGTCAGCAACACATCCAATATCATTACACTGATTGGAGTCAAGGTTGGCTCACTCCTGGCTCCAATTAGCTCTGGGAGAAGTCATTAAGCTAGGGCCTCACATACTTTTTTTTTACTCCCTGCACTGTGAATGTTTACATGTTATGTGCAATTGTTTAATTGCAACATGGCAAAATGGCAACATCTAATGTTTGTGTAGTATTATGTTCAGCAGACTGTGTTCTTCTATTGTGGTGACTTAGATGACGTTCACAGCACATTTTATGCCCAATTCATGCAAAACTCCACGTAATCCCAAGGGGTTCACATACTTTTTCTTGCAACTGTATACTGTAATATACTGTGTGTATATATATATATATATATATATATATATATGGCTTTTTTTCAGGGGGAACATAGGGGAATGCGGTTCCGGCACCTCCAGCATTGGATGTATGTAATGATAAGCAGTGCTGTGTATGCTGGAGGGTCTATTGTTGCAAGGGGGGTAACTACTATTGAGGAAGGGGTCTATTGTTGCTAAGGAGGGTCTTATGGGTCTTATGTTGCTGAGGGGCCTACTGTTCCTGGCTGCTGGTAGATCTATTGTTGCTGGCAGGAGTCTATTATTCCTGAGGTTGATTTATTGTTGCTGTGGCAGTGTTTTGTTGCAGAGTGTCTATTGTTTCTGGGGAATCTTTTGTTGTTGGGGGGGGCTATTGTTGCTGGCTGCAGAGGGTCTATTTTCTTGTTTTTCTTGTTATCATTAACAAATTCCATACAACTTATTTAGCATCACAAAATTATGTTAGGTTCTGTTTTCTCTAATAGGGGCTGTACTGGGAGGTGGAACTAAAGTATGGTGCTAAGAGGTGGGTTGGGTGCAGAAACAAGGGGTGACTTGAAAGGGGGGGAATACCTGGACCTATTTTCTGAGAAAAAAAAAAACACACACATATATATATATATATACTGTATATATACAGTATATCTACCTATCCATCATCTATGTAGATATCTATCTAAACATATATACAGTCATACATCCATATATATTAAACATTTGTGAGGGTACACAACACCGGTATGATTCAATTTAAACTTCCATGCAAGTATATATATATATATATATATATATTATATTATATTTCATTTTAAATTTTGTGGCAAAATAGTTCTTTGTACTCTGCTGTCTTACCCATATCATTTTCCTTTTTTTATTTTCACCCTACATTCCATGTTGTAAATATTAATGTTCTCTTCATCTTTGGAACACATTGATTGCTGTATTATCTTCTTTTACATGCTGAGTTCTCACAAAGAAAGCACATTTACTAGATGCAGCAAAACAAACGTTAGCAGATAAGCAGAATATTACACAGTAATATGAGGAAATGGAGCCAGCTTTGCGTTCGCCCCAGCCTCCTGATACTTTAATTTATTGCATATTTAAGGCTTCTGCACAGAAGGCCATGTAGATATACGAAAGAAGTTGAAGATTCATTTTGAAGGAGATTTAGAATGTTTCAAAAGAAAATAATCAGCACAGTATGGCCTACACAAAGAAGAGGTGATTCTAAAATTGTGATTGGGCTATAAATCAAATAAAAAGAAAAGCGTAAAGAAGAGCTTGTCACTGATGGGTATGTGTAATAATCTGATTCTCCACACTTGGACTGTATAATAGTGCAACCTTGCCTACATAATTTTTTATTTATTGCATTCTTTTCCTGTCAGAACAGAAGTGTCAGGCTGTGATACCATTCCATCTACAGACTCGGATTAGCTCTGATAACAGACACTGATAACTGAAAAATTTTTCAAAGTTAGTGTCAGAATTACATAAAGGAAAACTAAGGCCTTACTGCACGCACATTAACAGGTCAGAGTAATATGGCAG